TTTGCATTAGTTGCAAGTCCACACTTAGTTTGCAATTGAGCTAACTTTTTTTCCGCATCAGTTGCAAGTCCACCATCAACTCTTAACTAAGGGCAGACTTTTTTTATCCCAGTTGCAAGTCAATCATCAACTCGCAATTACGCCCACCCTTTTTTTATTCTAGTTGCAAGAAAATCATCGACTCACAACTAGGCTCTTGATCCTTTTTTTTGCCGCGATTGCAAGTCAACCAATGATTCGCAACTGGGCCCACTTGGTTTTTTGTCCTCTTTGCAAGTCCATCATTCTTTACGCAACTGACCCTAACCCACTTTTGTCCCAGTTGCAAGTCCACCATCGACTCGCAAATGAACTCCATATTTTCCTTTTGTATCGCAATTGGACCTGAATCTTTGTTTGCATTAGTTGCAAGTCCACACTCAGTTTGCAATTGAGCTAACTTTTTTTCCGCATCAGTTGCAAGTTCACCATCGACTCTTGGGGCAGTCTTTTTTTGTCCCAGTTGCAAGTCAATCATCAACTCGCAATTACGCCCACCCTTTTTTTTATTCTAGTTGCAAGAAAACCATCGACTCACAACTAGGCTCTTGATCCTTTTTTTTGCCGCGGTTGCAAGTCAACCAATGATTCGCAACTAGGCCCACTTGGTTTTTTGTCCTCTTTGCAAGTCCATCATTCTTTACGCAACTGACCCTAACCTACTTTTGTCCTAGTTGCAAGTCCACCATCGACTCGCAAATGGACTCCATATTTTTCTTTTGTATCGCAATTGGACCCGAATCTTTGTTTGCATTAGTTGCAAGTCCACACTCAGTTTGCAATTGAGCTAACTTTTTTTCCACATCAGTTGCAAGTCCACCATCGACTCTTAACTAGGGGCAGACTTTTTTTGTCCCACATGCAAGTCAATCATCAACTCGCAATTACGCCCACCCTTTTTTTTATTCTAGTTGCAAGAAAACCATTGACTCACAACTAGGCTCTTGATCCTTTTTTTGCCGCGGTTGCAAGTCAACCAATGATTCACAACTGGGCCCGCT